TACATCACAATGCACACCCTCTCACCCACCTACACACCTCTTCCACAAAATCACACCTGTTCACATACCCTTAGAAACATATTCCTATCCTGTGCCCAGCAAGAGAGAAAGATGGGGGAGATGGGCAAGGAGAATGGGTTATAAGAACAGGATGGGGGCTGACAGGTGACGTGGTTAAGCGCGCTGGACTCCCACATGGCTGACCGCGTTTCGAGTCCCGGACTTGGTGGCTTGCTCTCTCTCTCTCTCTCTCTCTCTCCCTCTCTCACTCTGTCCCTCTCTGATCAAATTAAAATAAATAAATAAATAAAGTTAAATAAAACGATTATTTAAAAAAGAAAGAAAGCAAGTGCTCAAGAGGCCTAGCACTCTGTAAGAGTTGAAAAGTCGGGAGACCAGGACCTCATAAACTCCCTATCCCTGCCACCCATAAACAGAAATACCAAGAACTGAGAGGGACTCAGAATCAGGGATAGAAGAAGCAAGAACTCAGGGGTCCTAGCAACGTGTGCTGCCCCAAGCTGACAGTGATGTGTCTCGGGCCTGCACGTGAAGCATATAGGGTGCCATGTTGTCAGTGGGAGACCCAGTCACAGCGGTGCAGTGGTAGTGCAGTGCTCTGTGATCCGGAGGCCATAAGATCAGGGGTCCGTTCCCTGGTTGACCTGTACATGCCAGGCGCAGGGTTTGGGCTCGGGGTCAACATCCTCTAGGAAGAATCTCCCCCTGCTTCCTTCCTTCCCACCGTCTTTGCCCTCTCCTTTTTTCCTAATAGACAGAGTCTCACTAGGTCATGATCCTGCTGCTTCAGCCTGCAGAGAAGCCTGCAGAGAAGCTGAGACCACATGCATACACCAACAGGCTCTTTCAGACAGGGTCTCACTATGCTGTCCATGCTGGCCATGAACTTGAGATTAGTCAGGGTCTTTTCACAATCCCTTCTTCTCCATTCTCCTCTTGGGATTTTGGGCACGCACGCACATGCCCAGCCTGTTTTAAGCTGCCGGGTCAGGGACTGGAACCGCGGTCGACTCCGAGGGAGTCCAGCGACGTGTCCATTAGGGCATCTGCTGTTCCATAATAGGAGTCTTTCTAATGCCGGTCGGAATAAAGAGGAGAAGGATCCCGCTGGAAACTTGTAGTCTCCTGCAGAGCAAAGAGGTCAAGGAGAGGGCCTCAGGAAATGACCAGTACCCAAGTGCAGGACAGCAGCCGAGCCGGCAATTCTGGCTTCAGACCTAGGCTGTTGTCAGCCTGCGCAGACCCAGCTCAGTCCAAACGCAGAAGCTGTGCACTTGGAAAAGAGCAAGTCTTTTCCTGTAGGAAAGGCTCCTGGAGCCGACACACAGTGCCCAAGAAAATTGGCGCAGGTAAATGGAGATGTCAGGCTTCTGCCATCCAGCTCTGGACCGTGCTTTCTGGGTCTCTGTGCTACCGCCTGGGGGCGCCCTCCGCTGGGTCTGAGGCTGCTGCCAGCTCGGCTGTTGTTACCATTAGTATAATTAATAAACAAGCACTGATGGGGCCAAGTAGAGGAAGAGGCAGGCCCCTGCTGCTCACAAGGAGAATCCTTGGAAAGTTCTAGTGAGACTGCAGCACAGGGGGCTGAGTGGCTAGACCCACCTCCCCAGGACCTCTGGGTAGGACCTTCTGGAGTAGACTCCAGGGAGCAGGGAGGGAGGGGAGCCCTTGTAGGCTTGTTTTGGAACCAGCTCTGCAGCTGCCTGTCAGGATGTCTGTGGGCAAAGCCACCCCCGTGATTATTACCGGTTGTGGGGCAGGCCACCCTCTTAGGCAATTATTCATTCATTTAACAGGCACCTGCCTGTTTGTTTATGGAGTGCCTACTGTACAAGGTGTCTGCTAATGTTTGACTGGACAATGGGAGGACATTGCCAAGGTTCACACCATGTCCTGGGAGGTGCAAGGTAGGCAGAGGGGAAGCAACAAGGAAGAGACAGCCCAACAGCACCCAGGCGGCCCGGCCTGTGACATGCAGCAGAGAGGATCCAGATCAGGAAAAAAACAGAAAACAAAAAACAGGGACTGCAAAGAAGATCTTGGGAAACTCAAGACCCAAGTTGGGAAGCATGCCGGGTGGGCAGAAGAAATGATCATTTGGGACACGAGGATCCTTAGAGGCAAAGGCTTAAGAAATAGAGCACAAATTTGGGCAACCGGGGTGGAAGGCCCCATGAGAGGCACGAAGGGACACTTGCAGATCCTGTCAGGGGAGTTCTGAGTCACGGCTATTGGTGGTGGTGGTGGGGAGTGTCCAGGGGGCTGAGGTGCTTTACGTCCTGCGACTGGGGTGTTGGATTCTAGGACCGGAGTCTGATCAAAAGTTGGGGTGTGGTAGGGGCTTCCGAGAGGCTTTGACGGAAGGATCTGGTGCGTCGGGCTGGAAAGATGCGGGAGAGTGTTTAGGGAGAGGAGGGGCGTGCCCGGGGTGCTCATCCAGGGGACCCCGCCAGGCCCCCGCGCGGGCGTTGGGGCAGCTGGCGCGGGGTGC